AAGGAAGGAAGGAAGGAAGGAAGGAAGGAAGGAAGGAAGGAAGGAAGGAAGGAAGGAAGGAAGGAAGGAAGGAAGGAAGGAAGGAAGGAAGGATGCACTGAAATAAGAGTCTTCCTGTTCAGTGTATTTGCTGCCCACAAGGAGAGTGGCAACTGATAAATTGGGATAGAGAGCTCTTTTCACTTACTATTTTCTTTTCACTCCTTCAAAATAAATGGCTGTAGAAACCAGTAGGTGGAAATCTGATTCACATTTGCTAATAGAAAAATTAAGGCTTTATTCTCTGATATTTCATGACAGAGATATTTTCCCCATCATCAGAGCTAGAGGGTGCTGTTGTATAATCATTTGCTTATCTGGTAAATGACTTTATTTCTACTCAGAGATGTTAGCAAATTTATATTTTATTTATCTAACTTCACTTTTAGAAATAGCTGTATTTCTCAGCAGACTCAGAATTACAGACCTTTCCCTTGTGACTGAAGGAATCCTTAAAATGTGTATTTGCACTTTTCTATCATTACACAAAAGGAGAGGAGGGGATGAAAGTCCTGTTTTCCCTTTCTTCTGAATCCTTTTTGCTGAAGTGACTCGTCACATCAGCTGAAGGCTTCATGAAATGGGATGTTTTTTCAGTCTATGTGCTGAGAAACCATCCCCTTCATAATCATTTCTACAGCAGTGGTGTTGGAAAATGCAGTACGGAGCTGCATGAAACATCCTGTGCTGCAAGATTTTGCTTTGGTGGATACATAGCAGAAGCCCATGGCTAGCAACCACAGGTGATTTGGAAATGAAAATTCCTCATCAGTATTCATGTAGAAGGGTTCATCTTTTGCCACTTCTCAAGAAAAATCTGAAAACATGAATTGGCCAAGTTTAAGTTGCAGCAGCTCGTGTTGACAGTTTCCAAAAGATTGGCTTTGATGTTATGAAACTACATCTGTGGTTGGCTGCGTGCAAGGGGCTTGCTTGTTTTTAACAAAGATTTGATGGGCTCCGTATCTGGAGTGAAGAACAAGTTAGTGCAAATGTTAGTGCTACCTCCTTCAGTTCTGGAAGGCCTGATGCTAAACATAAAACCAGTTGTTTGATTCCACAGCTCTCTCCTGCCTGCCCACTCCTTGCTCTGGGTCTTAACACCTTTGCAGCACTGCAAGAGATGTTCTTCACTGAAGCCACAAGTAATCGGTGTTTTTTGAGGGCCTTATGGACAYCTTGTAGAAATATTTATATGCTAAAATTTTATTTGAAGCTGTGGGTGAATCTTTTCCATAACAAATTATTTCAGAATTTGAAAGAGAAAACATGTAAAGCATATCTGGTGATCCATGGCATATTTTTGTTATTTAAATAAAAGTGTACAGGAGTTTATTGGTAGATTGTCTCTCCACATGAAAATCTCATAGGCAATGCTAATTAGTGAAATTAACTCAATATTCAGTGTCGAACACAGAAATAGTTACAGATTTCCTAGGGTTGAAGTCAAAGGCATGCAGTAAATTCGTGAAATACTCTGTGTGGCCAAATAACATCAGGGCTCTGTATTACCACATCACAAAATACAGGCTCTGCTAAGGATGACTCATCGGTTGTTTGCTTGACTGTTTCCTCTGCAACGTTTTTCCACTGCAAAGTAAATATCCCCACAGTGCTTCATGAGGAAATGAAATAAAAGTGAATCTGCTGACTGCAGTCAGCAGTGCAAGGGAAATCCATATGGCATGAGAAATATTTTTACTAACATTATACTGAGTTCTTGTCGCAATTAGTGTCCCAGCGTTGCAAGAGGTGGGCAGAAGGTGGAGGGCACAAATGATATATAGCTCCAGCTGTGATTTCTTGAGTTACAGAAATCATATGAGGGAAATCTCCCCTATTCTATCATTTCAGGAGAAATGCTTGTTAAAATCTGCCAGCTAATGGCTTGTTTTTGTCTTGTTTTACGCAGCTGCTGGGCAGCCGACTACGTTGTGACATGACTCTGAGGCTAATGACTTGCCAGAAGGAACTCTCCTCTCATGTGTCTCGGCTGCCTCCAGACAATCACTTGTTAGAGCTTGGAACCACGGACGTCATAGCTCTCATCTCATCTGGAAAAGCTCATATGAAAACGCTACATCTGCTCCTTTAAAATGCAATATGTTTTTTTTCCCCCCTTTCTTAAGAAATTTGCAAAATATGTATGATGGTATATGGTAAGGTATAGCCTAAGTACTATTAAAAAAAAAAATCCCACCTTTTCAGGTATGTTTATGATATCCAGTCTGTTACTTGGTTCTTTTAAAGGTAATAAGAAAATTAAAATGCAATAAACTTGTTTTGTTTTAATCTTTCTAGGAATTAAAGTTTTAAGTTTACAGAGCCTTTATAGAATATGCCAACTGGAGATGAGAAGTAATTTTAAGATAGTATCTAATCAGTGCATTTGAGAAAACTAAACACCACAGCACATGACTTCTCTGTTATAACTGAAGCTATAACTTTTTTTATACAGAGACTAGTTTGATAATACATCCTGTAATTCTGAAACATTTTATGTTTATTTTACCTTCAGTGGAGGGTAGGAGTTATACAAATAAATTATTGCACCTTTAGCGATAGGAATTTTTGTTTGTGTACCTCATGTAATGTTCATGACYATAGCTTAATATTCTGTCAAATAAAGATTTCTTCATTAAACCTAAAGACTCTATACCATTAGCGACTGCGGAATTCCCATCAGGAGCACTCCTACTTGATAAAATCCATATCTTGATTTGATGAAAGGGTGACGTGGGAGAGAGAAGCTTGAACCGAACTTGAATGCAGCTGACACGTGAACTGACACGTGAATCTCCAGGCTGCAGTTCAGGGGGTTGCTGAGCTTTTTCTGCTGCACCTTTCCCATAGGTGGCCGGAGTTACTCTGCCATCTGCTCGTTTGCTTGCGAGTGCTGCGTTTGGTTGCAACCATGTGAGAAGGAACACGTGCGGTGGGGTCCCCTCCAACCCGAGCCCTCACGAGGGTCAGCAGTGAACGAGGGCAGCCAGGGGATGGCCGTGAACCTGCGTCCCTCCGTGCATCCACCCCAAAGGTCAGCAAAATGAGGAATGGGAATTCCTCATTCCTCAAATGGGAAGCAGGCAGGGAGGAGGCCAATAGTGACAGGCAGAAAAGCTTGACCTGCCTGTGTTCGGGGCACTCTGTGCTTTTTGCTTAGGAAGGAGCTCCTTGCTGAGGTGCTGCAGCAGCTCGCTGGGAGAGTTGTCTCTGCTAAGACCTTGCTGCAACCCAGAATACGCGGGCAAGCTGGGGTGATGGGTTACAATTCTAAAGTATCTTGTTTCAGCAGTTCAAAATGCAATTTAAAACAGAGAAAACAACTTGTTCTGCCTTAAAAAATTAACAGATTTCCTGTTTAATGTATGTGCACATCCATTGTCTGTTGATATGTCAGTAAAATGGAAATGACCTGGTTATGGGGGAAGCAATAATTTTGAGTTGTTACATAGTTAGCAACTATTCATTTAGACCCTAGACAGTTGCTTGCATCTGAGTTGCGTGCCCATGCAAAACTGCTTGTCATTGAAAACACCTGCACAGTGTTACCAGTTGAGGAGATTGGGATTGTCTGCTGGAAGTTCCATGTGACTTCCTTAAAATTGTGCCTTAGAAAATGCAAAGCTGTTGCACACAGTCACTGATGACTCATGGATGCAATAAATCCAAAAAGTTGAAGTCCTTCATTTGTCTTCAATGGGGAGTACTTTTTAAAAAAAATAAAAAAAAAAAAAACAGAAAAATGTTTTGAAAATAAGACAGTGAAATCCAATATTTTGATTAACCATTTGCATGATTAAAGAGGTTAAACCTGTTAAAGGCTTTTGATAACCAGGATGTTTACAGTTTGCATGTGGTCCTCGTAACATTTTCAGGCAAATAATGCATAACATGGAAATTCAAGAGGATTTTATAAACTACTTTGTACATCTGCATCATTCCATGTKCTGCATTAAGGATATGTGAATATATTATGCCTGGGCCTGATTTTCAAACGAGACCTCCTTTAATGCATGCATGTGTGTCTATTTGGTGTAAGTCACTTGCATTTATCCCCACATRTGATGTAGCTTAGATGTGCAAATCGGTCACAAGTGTAGGAGAGGGCTGGTGGTCACAGGCAGAGGTTAGATGTGCTTCTCTTAGCTTAGCAGTAGATGCCCGAAGATGCCAGAGGGAGCATGACTGGAACCAAAATGCATGAGCACGGGGTGGGTGGGGGGCACGCAGCCTTGCAGACACTGCTGGGGCTCTCAGGCTGCTTGGAACTGGATCCCAGGGTCTAGCAGTCAGGTTCATATGTGCATGTTGCCGTGAAGTGAATTGTATGTAAAGCAAAACGAAGCAGCGTTCTCAGACCATGAGTTGCTCCTCCCAAACCCAACATTTTCAAGTTCTCAGAATTGTACTTGCCAACTACTTCGCTGATGTTTGATTTACTTTTCATCTGAAGTCTTACATGGCAAATTCATTTGGGCTAAGACCTTTTATTTTTCTCCTTTGTTTTCAGTATAAACACATAAACATGATAAATTTCTTATCAGGAACTTTGCAGCACAGAAGAAAAAAATAATGCGCTATTACATCTGAACTATAATGTAAATGTATTTGTTGCAAAAGTGATTTATTGTTGCTAAGCAAGTACAATGTATGTAATGGTTTTTAGATGTTTGAAAATTTACTTAGCCTCTTAATACTTCGGAGAACCTCAATAAGCATCATAACCCTTCTGTATTTCACTGTCCCACATCCATGGTGCATTTTTCCTGCCTCTTGCTATGTAGTGTTATGATGCAGGTCGCCTGTAGTTTTCAGTGAATGTCCTAAAGGTTGGAGAAGTGCCAGGGGACCATCCTTGTATGCATGTCCATTCAAGGACAAGGATTGCTGTCCTAACTGGAGCTAATGTTGAATACCAATTATGCTACTCTTTCCTTTGTTTTATTTATTCTAAAATGCCTCTGGAAATTAGGAAGACCTGTCTAAAATGCAACAGCTTTTATAGTAAATGTACGTTTATAAATAAAAACGTTGATTACATTTGGTCAAGTGTCTGTTTTGCTTCTTGTAACTAACTTCTCCTTTTGCATGTGGTATGCTGGGGAATCAGGTTGCAGGCAGGATGTATCCCAATGGGAAAAGCTTCTGCATGGGTTAGGCTGGGCTGAGCAGTAGTCCACAAAGTTTAGCATGTGAAAAGCATGGTATCTACTGGCATCAGTAGACTGTGGTTCAGACTTCAGTTCAACAAACACTTTGTGTGGGAGAGGTGACCTTGTGCTTGGTTAATCCCATTCCTAAGTAGCCGAGGTCTGTTGAGTTTTTCATCTTTGGGTGCTGGTTATGCAGGTGCTGAAGGGCCTCCCTAAATTGTGGGTCCTCAGGAGTGTGCGGCTTCACCTCTAACCAGCAAAATGGTCACACAACATTTTAAACCAAGAGTTGGCCCTTTCTTTTGATCGGAAGTTCAATGGRTGGATGTCTTGGTTTTGAGCCAGATACGTCTCTCAGATGGTGGATGAGTCATGGGGAAGTATTGACAATTTAATCTTTTTAAAGTCTATCTCCTAGCCTGGTGCCTGGATCACAGCTGCCTTAATGGAAATGGTAGTGGCATTACATTATTTTTCCATGTGTGTCTGTGGGTGGAGGGCCAGCGCTGCTCTGGGCGAGGGTCTCTAGCGAGCAGAGGCTCTGCAACAAGGTTGCTGGGTGTCCAGACAGGCAGGTGGCCTGTACGAGCCTGGAAAATGGTGGAGATCCCTATTTCTGCAATATGCCTGAGCTGATGTCATGACAAAATCATCCMGTAGGCTTCATGAAAGGGGCATATGGGGCATCCCAGGGCATTGAGCAGCACTCTGTCCTTCCTACGCCTTCTCTGGGCGCGATGCAAAGGGATAACAGGTAGTAATGTAGGGATAACATAGAGCTCCCAGGTAGGCAGGTCCRTGGGAGACCATCTAATTCAGCAACACTTTTCTCTCCTCCAGCACTTTGGTGCCAAGACAGTCTACACAGGCAGGCTTAGTACTTGCTGGAAGCTCTAACACAGGCAATGAGCAGTGGTAGCAACAAATATTAGTAGGTTGCTCATCTCATGAACATTCATTGCCCCTCATCCAGACAACTGTCCGTGGTGACTATTAGAAGCAAAGAAGAGAATTAGCCTTGGGGCGCAACTCTTACTGCCCAGTTGAGCAAGGAGAGGTTTGCTCTTGTATGGGCACCAGAAACCGTTCCTGACAGCATGAGGCTGCCTAAACCATCTTGAACCTACAGGTTCAAGGAAGCAGGGACTCAATCCACTTTCCTCGGAGGCAGCCTTGTGCCTGCTCTCCTGGACAAGGTGAGGCAGGTGAAGAAGAGATGCTCCATTTCTGCACCACGTCTGCAGGAACACTCAGAAGGAGAGCCTGGACACTGGACTCGATCACCACTTGGCCAGAAAAAAAAAGAAAAGATGCCAGAAAAAAACACATGTCTCCTGTACAGCCAGGCAGGACTCCTATATACCTCTAAAAGCCTCCGGTAGGGATGTAATTTCATCTGAGCTTCCCGATCAGAGGAAATGACTAAACTGGAAACCACTCAAGTTTTACARGTAATAAGGATCCAAAGCAAAGATAGAAATACAGGGTTTTCCTTAGCTGGGTTGTGGCTCTCCTCAGTGTGGGGGTTGTATTCTGTGGGTTTTGTTGTTGCTTTCTATTCTTTTGGTTAGTTTTCTAAAATCTACTGCTAAGAGAAATGCTTGCCCCTCTGCAAGGCCACAGCTGCTGCTCTGCACACTGAATACCCCACGCTCTGCAAGATCCCCTTCCCAAAGCAGATAGGATTTTAAGCCATTTAGGAGAGAGGGAAAAAATCCATTATTTCAGACAATCTCATGAGTCACTGCCAACTCATCCACAGGCTGCCCCTGCCTCACTGCACAGGACACACTGCTAATTCTCTTAGCTGATGCCACATCCATGGTTTCTAGACATGTTTTTCTAACGGGTAACATGTTCCACAGTACATATTGAAGTTATACTGTATGACTGTAGAAATGGGGGCAAAAAATGACAGAATCCCAATATTTCCTTGAAATAAGAGAATAATCACAGCAAAAAGAAAGCAAGATTTAAATATATCCTTTTCTCCATCCTTTTCATTAGACAACCAGTTTCTCCAACAAGTATAGGAACAGAGATGTGACACCTACATCTGTCTCTGGAAAATGTGTGGTAGCTTCTCGTGCTGAACATTAAGGCTGAGCATTAGGGCTTGTAGGGTAGGTAATGCCTCAAAATCCTGCCCCTGGCTAGATCAAACCTTTCCTTCTAAAGAAGTAAAAAACAACACAATTAGCAAAGGCTGCTAATTCAGTAAAAGATGATGTAGCTCTTCAAAGTATTCTTTTTTCTTCTKGTTTCTGTTCTTCAGAAGCTCTCTAGAAGATTTTTCATATGATAGCTCTGTCATCAGACACATATTCCTTGTGTAAAGGCAAAGAGGATCTCTGGTGATGGTGGCCTGAAGCACCTAACAGGCTGTGGGAAACGCTTGCTGCTGGTCACAGCATGCCCAGACTTTGAGACCTTCCTAACCACATTTGCATGAGCCTAAAAGTAGTTACCTATTTCTGATATTTGTATACTACCTGCAAGGAATGCATCCATTAGTATTTTAGCTTTTTGAAGTGTGTTTGCAAAAGACTTCATAAAAATAACACAACTTTTAAAATTATTATCATCTA